CCCCAACTACGTAATTACAGTGTGCCGGAAGCCCAAAATACTAAAAAGCGCATTAGAATGTCGCACTTGTATATTCTATACCTTTAACAAAACAGTATTTTGAAATTAACTAGAAATTATATTCTTAACATCAAACATGTATATTTCTCCTCTAATCATTTTACCAGTACCAATAAAATTAACCTTTAATTGGCTCTTACAGTAATAAGCTCAGTGAAACTGTTTTTTTGTTTGTTTGTTTGTTTGTTTTTTTGGGGGGGGGGGTTGTTTTTGGTAAATTATTGAGGCTCTCTATCTAATCCATAACTTGAGCAATTTCAGCCATGGTGAAGTACTTCAGACCCAACCCAGCCAAATGTAGAATAAAATAAAAATACATAAAATGTATTTTAATCTTGTGTTTGTACTCTTCTGTCACAGTATGTATACCAACATCTATGCACCTGTCGTTATTGACAGCAGTCCTTCAGATGCTGAGGGAGAGGAGCTGCAAAGGAAAACTGGTAATTTTCATATCTTGAATAAGTACAATAAACCCATAGTGTGTGACTTGCAGTTAACTTATTTATCAAATATTTGTTTACTAAAAATAGTGCTGGGTACTGCTGCTATTTTTGATCCTAACCTTTTACAGGAGCAAACATAGCTCAACTGTTCCTGTGAAGTTATTCTGCTGATGATTGTATTCAGAAGAAAAAAAGATTCTTAAAATTATTTGGTTGCTGATGATTGTTCTTCAGATTACTATTTTGTTTTTTAAAATGAATTAACAGAAAAAGGCCAATTGATAAAGCAAGAAAAGATGACTTACAAGATATTAAACAAAAAAAAATACATAAAGTGTTAATAGTGTAAATATTTAGTTGCTTTTCACTGACTGATTCTACAGTGATGAACCTGATGGATTGACGGCTGCAGATGTCATCTCAAATCTGGCTCTGAAGATCAACAAAACCTCCTGTAGCAGATTCAACATTAACGGAGCCAATGGGATGGTGCCTACCAAGGCTTCAGAAGAAGAAGTCCCAACTCTGGCATGATGGTGAAATTCTCTGATGACGTGGGGCAGGCTGAAGAGGCAATAGACACAGGTGTCATCACTAAAGGACACCTTACGGAGAGTAATTTATCAAACTGAACGGGCAAAGCTGTTGAACTTATATTAAGAGATTTTTGTTTTGTTTCACAGAGGCCACAGTTTTAGAGTAAAGCGTTTATATGAATCGCACAAACATGTGAATTGCTTTGGAAAAATGCTGGAAAAAAATGTTTAACATTGCATCTGATGTGGCTGCAAGCTATGCTGTTAAGAGTTCATTTTTTCTGAATGAGAGGTGAGGTGTTATCAGAGGAAGTGGTCATAGGCGCTGGTGGATGGCTCAAAGCTGTAACCGCAGCATCGAAACCTTGGCCATGTCCTTGCAATCTTTACTGAGTCGTCAACCTGTTTGACTAAAGCCTCACATAATCCTGCTCGTAAGGAGGCACATTTTATTGTTCCGTTATCATGCTGATTTATCTCACTTAGTTAAAGGAGTGAAAAGAAAAAACTAGGACGCGTCCAAAGGAGCAGAGCTGGAGATGAAGCTGCGCACACAGCTGGCTGATGTATGAGCGCGTAGATTTAGCGACAATTAACCCCTCCACCCTGCACGTTCCCATGAACCTTCACGGTCGCACAGTCCGATACTTTAGGGAGCACCTGTGCTGCTTACCTATGGATGAGCGAGGGCAAAGCTGGAACTTCTTCTTTCTTCTTTTTCTTTTATTGGCAGTTGGCAGACAACTGAGTGGTGCATTACAGCCACCAACTGTTATGGAGTGTGGACTGAAACATTCATGTCTGTTTCTTTTAACAGGGATTCAGGGGTTAGTGAAGATTTGTGGGATGAAGCAGGACCCAGAAATTTTTTTTTTAAAGGAATCAAGGCAAGGAATCAAAAATCAAGGAAATGGTAAATGGATTGGTAGTTATATAACAACTTTCTCCAGCTGCAACTCTCATTCATTCAGTCCCACACACACTCATACAGCACTTGTATTTATGGTCAATTGCTTTCTAACATTCCCACTCACACAGATGGATCCATCAGGGGCAACTCTGGGTTCAGTGTCTTGCCAAAGGATCCTTCAGCACGAAGACAGGAGGAGTCTGGGATCAATTCACCGACCTTCCAATTGGTAAACAACCCACTCTACCACCTGAGACCACAAGTGTAAAGTAAACAGACTATGTGACAAAGGGCGACTGCACAGATAGATAGGGTGAAGACACTTTGGAAATTAGACGAGACCTGTGAATGCAAAACTACAATGAGCTGCTGACGTGTGATTATGTGAAAAGTTATTTGTGTTCTTGAGCAGCTGAACAGGTGTACCTAATGAAATGACCAGTGAGTGTATATTAAATTGCAATATATAATTAGAACATTGTGGCTAAATGCCTCGATGTTCTCATCAGCTGGTGGGAGTTATCTGTAGTTTACGAGAGCTGAGAAGGAAACCAGAGGAGGAAGCAGAAAGATGCCAGAATATAGAGAAAACGCTCGGTGAGGATTAAAGCTGAGCTTCAGCTGTTTATTCAACATCACTATATCAGTTTTCTCTTTCAGCTTTCAGCTGCTGCTGATGGGAGAACAGCTAAAAGATGCAGCTGAAGGTAAATGAACAATAATTCAACAAACTTCAGTTAAGCTGCAGCACTAATAGTAATAAAGGCATTACTATAATAATAAAAACGCACAGCTTCAGAGACCTTATCACTGCTCTCTTATCCGCAAACCAGGGTCTCCTCTGACCCTCACTCTGGTTTTAAAAC